ATGTAACAGCAAAATCCCTAAAGATTTGAGGTTTTTCTGGCAGATATCCAAATCTAGAATGTAATATAAACTGACCAGCAGTAAGGAATAATAGGAAAAAATATTAATTCTATATACGTCCTTCTTTGTTTTCACTACTGGGGCCCTGGTACTCTTAAAATTTGGAAGAGAAAAATGTACGCTCTGAGTGCTGAAGTCCTGAGGTATGGCACTAAATTTAACAAAATCACAGGAGCTAAAAATTAATGAATATAACTTCAGAGTCTTCAGAGTGTCTCGCTCATACACACATAAGAAATTGTGCCCCTGTGGCAGACACTTAAATCAGATATGACAATATGACAACATGGTGTTTAATGCCATGACCATTGCCTGAAAATGTTAACACATTTAGCCGAAAATTATATAAACTCTAGTTACTGTATATCATAATCCCTTAATAAGGTTTATAAGCACAAAAGCTCAGGCCGGATAAAGTAAGAGAACAAACAAGACCCATAAAAACATGTATTCAGCTTAATATGTAACCTTTTGATCATATTTTACTTAAATGCAATGAATTCTTTATTTGATAAAATATATTTTCTCTATATTAGACACTGCCCCTGTTTTTGAGTTGGTACTATTCCAAAAGAAAAGGTTCCCTTTTAAAATTACAGTAGCTTTGGCTGCTACATCAGGGTTAACAACACCAAGGCATTTTGATATAACGAGTTATTTTACTTTCTAACCCATTTGCATAAAGAATATTCCCTTTATATTTTATTTCAAATATGATTTGGCTACATCAAGGAAATAATGATATTATGTTAATTTCCCTCAATCCATTTAATATGTGATATGTTTAAAGTATTTCTTTTTAATGATCTATTTCTATTTTTCTATTTTCAGTTTCTACCAAAATTAACCTTTTCTTTATATTATTTATATTTATATGATGTGCTATGTCTACAGCTTTATAGAAGAAATAAGAGCACTAACATTAGCTGTGTTTGTGTCCTGAACAATTAATGAGCTGCACTTTAAAATGATGAAAAAAAAAGTTGTACTTTCCAAAATCTCTCTCACAACAAGGATTTAATTTATAGAAAAAGTCAGTTCATTTCATCCCCTCATAACTTTCCTGAGTATTGCAATCAGTATGATTTGTATAATAGAAATTGTCAGTAGCTGTAGTTTCTGCATACTTTTTATCAAGGGAGGTTGTGATTATGTCCCAAGCCAATTAAATTTGTTTTGCTTATAATCACGGGGAGTCCATTAATATTGAATAATAACCTCTTCCAGGTCCAGCTTTATGTCAGGAAAACTTTAAAGAGAGTATGAGACTTCATATTGTTGGTTCCTTTTGTTACAATTACATTCCAGAAACAGTCTAGATCAGAATATGTTGATGTGTGGACGTGTGGGAAGGAAGGAAAGAATATCACTGAAGTGGAACAAGCCCATCGGAGGGGCTGAATGCATTTAGTCTCAGCATATTGGAGCTCTTTAATTTGAGGGTGGATTAAGAAGGAGGACAGGAAAACTCCTCTGGAGATAAGGCTGCACTGGGGCTATTGCCTCTCTCCAGTTTGGATCTGAAGTGGCAGCGAGATTCTAAATGAAAGTTTATTTCTTTAGGCTTGAACATTCATGAGATTCAGCACAGACAAGAGCGCGTGAGTGAAGATAAGTGAAAATCGTACTGAAAAGCTTTGAGAAAGTGCGTGCAAGTTAAAATAAAAGAGGGGTAACTAATAGAAATGACCTGAACCCACACTGAATGATAGAAAACAGAGCTCAAAATGCTGCCAGGCACTGTATGATTTATGAACAACTTAGGATAAAGACATGTAGTATTTTCAGTCATCCAATCCAGAGAAATTTAGAAATCTCCTCATCTTCATAACATTTTCAAAACTGTTCTATATAAAACCACATTTAACCTGCCCTTGACAGAGGTTTGTCCTCTCAACTCACTCCCCCTGTTTCAACACAGCCACTGAATACTGATGGCTCCCATCACAAGCAATTCCTGAAGGAGTTACCTTCTATGGAAGAACATGCCCAGGCTTTTACTGAAGATAACATCAGAGGGGATTTCATGATTTTCTGGACATTAGCAGAAGGTCCTGCAATGTGTATCTGGTTGTCAGACAAGCATTAATAAAGCATCATCAAAGAAATCATTATCTGAAGGGTGTCAAAAAGATAGTAATTGCAAGGGGGTGTTTTTAATAGTAAAACCATTCTTGCAAAAGGGAACCAAACCTTTAAATGTGATGCCACACGATTTCCTACTGAGATGTATTGGCTCTAAGGCAAGCAATTTATTCTGTTGTTAAACGTTTTAAGGTGCCATAAGGAAGAGATTAAATGGAATGGTGCTCGCTGCAGAGGTGAGATTTGAAACCTGAGTGGGGCCTTTTTTTTATTTACACATTGCTGTTTTATTATCAGCTTCTCTAGAATTGTGTTTTCTTTAATTACCTTTGTTTTCTTGTGCATTAGCAGCAGGGCACATTAGGTTGGAGTATACTCTTCCTCGGGTTTGTCATCTGAAACGGTGCGACTAATCTGATGGCTCCATAGCAGTTGTGGGGAAAGACAGTGGGTGACAATGCTGTGTTTGGAAACCAGAGCGTCTGGAGACAACGAAGCTGACCATTGACAGAAGTGATGTTTTTCTAACCCCTGACAAACATACCTTGCATTTCAGGACATTCTTGCACTTGTTCAAGGCCCATTGCAAATGTCTGGGTGTATGCTCACAGACCAAAATAGAATTATTTAGCAGTTTATGGTGAACGTGCCATATTTGGACTGCATTCATATTAAATGTGAAATAAAATCTTGCAGACATGGGTGGAACCATAAATTAGGTACTTGGAATATCTTAACTACCCCTTGCTAGGATTAATGTGTTTTCGCTCAGCCTAGAAGCAGTATTGATGAGAAGTAGAACAGTGTAACAAGCAATATTCATTAAACATAAAGAATTCAGAAATTTACGTTACAGATACAAAGGTACTGTATACTTGGTCTGCAACTGCACATACAGCAGTGGGTTGAAAGATCTTGAGCCTAACACTGAAGGAAATGCCTTTGCTGTCGCACTTACACAAGTTATTGCAGTGTCATCGAGAGTACACAGAACTGCCAAAAATTTATGGATGCATGTTGTAAATTCTCTTGGCATTCACAATGTAATGGCAGCACAATGACTGATTTTTATTATTATACATTTTAACATCCGTTATGGATGTTAAAAATAAAACCATAAATACGGTAGAAGACAATCTAGAATATTGTGACTTAGCAGGCTGAGTGTGTTTGGCTTGGATAGCACATAGCTTATTTTTTTGGACTTTTCCCCTATCTGTTACATTATTCTTATCTTTTTTCATTAAATGGCTCTCCTCATAATGTATTTTTGTTTTTGTATGAACAACCAGCACAGGAAATATTTCTTGCAGGAAAAACAAGAAAAATGCATGATGTCAGAAATGAAACAGTATATATATATTCTTTATAGAAATAAAAAATCTATTTTGTATTAACAGAACACCTTTAAAACTAAGGTTTTGCATGTCCAGCACTTTTTGCTTTTTTCGCCTAGGCACATACAGTATTCATACACCCATCATGATAGGCTTTTGCTAAATAATAAAAAAAAGGAAAAGCAAATAAAAAAAGAGGTCATCTTTCACTGCGTTTAAGGAACCATGTGAAAAATAATGGCCTCGGTGATCGTCCTGTAGCTGCACACAGCATGCATGGGGCTATATTATTATGAGTTACTGCACCCTGTTCCTGAGTCAAGTTCTGTTTACAGAATGAAATCCTCCCAGGGTTTTGTAATGGGGTGGGGGAGGCGCCTTTCATCGGCTGCTCTCTCCTCTGTTGGCCCAGGCCAAGGCTGGCCCCTGTTCTCAGTAAGTTTACTCCACTCCAGATGTGCGTCGGCTCCACTGTGGCTGCCATGTACAGTAAATCGGCATCTGAGGGCTCGTCAATCTGTGGGGTAGAGTGCTGTGGTGTCGTCAGCCCGAGCCACTGGCATAAACGGAAATTTGTACTGCTGAGCTCCCAAGAGGATTAGAAGGAAAGGGGAGGGGAGGAGGAGGAGGGGGGCCTGGGGGTGGATTTGAGAAGCTGGAACGGGAACAGCTCTGATGAGCAGCAGGGGGAAAGTCTCAAAACTGGTTCTCGCCGTTCAGAGGCATCGTTTCGCCCTTTTGTTCTCCCCAACGTTCTGCCTTTTATTTTCCACGAATCTGGAATCGCTGCCCTTCTGTGATGGGCTAAAACGCAGGCATTTTCAGAAAGCGAAAAGAAAGAAAGAAAAGTCAAATGAATGCTATGCACTTTGCCTGGGATTGCAAAAGGAGTTGTAAACGTTAGTGAAGAATTTGTAAAAGTCTGGCAGATACAGCACATTGCTTGTATTGAGTTTTATTTCACACTATAATGCACATTTTTATCTTTTAATCTGCCATTTCACATCCAATGTTGATTGTATTTGTTCATGAAAATTTGGATACTAATGTCCCAATTGGTTACATTTAAGTTATTTATTTCTTCTTAATTGTCTTTTCATCAAAACTATGCAACAGAGCATGAAACATGGGATTAGCATTGTTATTCTTTATCATTAATAGAACACCCAAGTATGCTTTATAATTAATACTTAATGTAAACCGAAATGATGAGATTGATTTGCCATTGTTGTCAAATAGAGAAAGCTTTAGTGGCACATTGAGGTGCCATTCTGATTCTATGTTGTAACAGAACTCCTCTGTGAGAACACAAAATCTTATAGCTTCTTTACTTCCACAAAAGGCATATAGTAACTTCAAGTTTCCAAAAACCTTTTTCATCACTGCAAAAGAGTTCTTATTTGTTAATAAAATGATGTGTGTTACTTACTGTACATCACTACATACTTAACTAAAACACAGGAAATGCAGACCTAGATTCATAATAAGTTTTAGCATTAAAGTTTATTTATATGTTTTTGTAATGAAATCGTTTACAATGCCATTTGTAAAGAAGTTTCTGAGAAAAAATGTTGATAGTCACATGTGGGTCACATGATAAATTCAAATCAGGTCAACCATTAAGCCTGAGTTCAAGCATGTAAATGGCATGACATAGATTTAACAGAAACATTGTACTGTACAGTACATGCACCACATGCAACTCTCGTGAGCAGGAGAGAATGTCCTGAGTGACCCTTGTCATGTGGAGAAAAATGGTATCATGCTGTAAGATTCAGAGATTTTGTTGGCATGGGTGTTTCGGCAACAAGTCACTGATCTCTAATGTTGTTGTAAAAAAGCTGTGAAATAAGACTGCCACTAATCACAAAAATGACTCCCACAGTTCTAAAAAGTCTCTCTGTCTCATTTTAAACACCACTACAGGCAATTTTACTTCTTTTTACACGGGCAATCAGTGAACCTTCTGTTGTTAAGTGATCTAAAAATGCCAAATGAGACAAAGAATCAGAATTCATTTTTTTTCAATCCAGGGAGTTGTCATTAATTATACACAGTATGAATCGAGTTTAAATTTACTGTTATTAATTTATGTCTCTGACATAAATCAGAGACAACAACGATAGAGGCTTACAGTATGTATACAATAAAATTACAAAATCAAAAGCTAGCATGCAAATGTTTTGAGTCAGGATTTGAAAATGCTGAAAATGATGAAAATGTTGGTTGACTATCAAGATCACAGATGGGAGATCTTTCCTCAGCCTTAGAGCAATAGCACAGCAAGTACCAGCACATATCCCAGTCTGGAGCCTCATATTGGGTACTGAAAGAAGACAAGAGTCCAATAAGCCCAAAAAACATATAGGTTTGTAGAGAGAGCAGTGGATTGCAGTTCAGCAATGGATTCAGGAGCCAAACCATTTAACCCCTAAAGCCAAATAAGGAGCAGTATTTTGAATTTTCTTCACAAAATCCTCAGGGCACCAGTGCAAGGAAGTTAAACACGGGGGTACATAATTCATGCCTTTCAGTTTTAGTTAAGATTTTAGTTAAGAACCCTCAGAACATGAAAACATGAGCATCAGATGCAAAACGCTTTGGTAAGCCTTGTCAGAGACAACACACAACCCCTGGTACTTGATTTGATTTTAAAGAATGAAGAGTCAAATCTCAGGTGATACAGTTGCTGAGTAGATAAAAAGAGCCATGACTTCAGTCTTGTCAGGGTTCAGACATACAATAGTTTACAGGGTTGTGGCATTACTAGCCTAGGAACACTGGCATCAGCTGTATTCGTCTTTCAGTGATGTTAGCAGCCATTGATTTTTTTGTGTGGAAACAGTGCCTTGTGTTGTTACCCCTCCCTTTTTCTTATGTGCTAGATCTTGATTGTCAGGTTTCAGGAGTCTAGTTTTGTAGATAGCTGGACCCTGTTTCACTTAGTAAGTTATTTCAATAACTGTCATACTTAATTGGTTGGTGTTACATATCTTTAGTCTATTTTAAAAGTTTTACATGCTGTACTGATCTCCACAGAATCTCTGAGAAGATAGGTATTTCCTTTCAATGTCTATTGAGACAGCGTCCCTGGAGGTACATTTCAAATAAGGTTTATAGTATTATTTTTTGCTATTTAAAATAGAAAGTGAATAGTGAACATCAGTTCAAAGATGGTGCCAGAAATCCATTTGCAGCTTTGAGTTTACTCCGTCATGTTAAGTGCATAAAATCTGAGTTTATATCCAGGTAATTTTAAGGAATCACCGGTAAATCTGCATACAATTATAGTAAAGAATCACATCACTGTATAAAACAATAGGCTAATGTGAGTGTTTGGTCTGAATTTCAAAAGTAAATTCAAAATATTTTACCTCAATGACTTCCATAACAGTATTAACCATTGTAAGTGAACATACATCTTCCTCTCATTCAGAAGGGTG